TCTTGTAGTTGGCGCCCGAAGCCAGTCCCGCGCCGAAGATCTTGAGGACCCCCGGGGGCGCCGTGGCGCGGGCGGCCAGTGGGGGCTCGGGAACCACGCACGGCGCCAGGTCAGGCAGCTTCTTCTCGCTGGCCCAGCGCTGCGCGGCCCCGGGAGTCCCGGGACCTCCCGCGCCGCCAGATCCCGTGGCCCCGGTCCCTGAGCCCCGAAAGAGCTGGGAGATGCGTTTGGCGCGGCTCCCGGATGCTCCCCCGGCCGCCTTGACCGCGCCCACTCGCCGCAGCTCCACGTGCGGCGGCGGCGGGGGCAGCGGCTCGCTGCTGCGGCTCCCCGTGTCTGAAGACGAAGACCTGGGAGCCCGCCGGGGAGCGGAGACATGGGCGAGAGACCCCAAAAGACACGCAGAGGCGGGCGAGGGGGGTAGAGAAGGAGGGAGGTGGGCAAAGACCCAGATGGGGGAGGGGCAGAGACCCATTGAGAGAGGAAACAGAGACCCAGGGGAGGGTGAAAGACGCAGGGTGTACGGAGATGGGGGGCGGCGGAGAGTAGGCAGAGGCCGGAGGCAAGGAGAGAGATAAAATAAAGGCATAAATTAATAAATAAAGGCGAGTCCCACGGAAGGGAGTTCCCAGAAGTGAGCAAGGAGGGGAGGAAGGAAAGTGAATCAAACTCCTGCTCCTTCTGGGTCCCCATTCCCGTGTCCATGGGCCTCAGCCCAACCCCAGGCCCAGCGCTTCCCCTGCTCGGCTCTACATCACTGTGGCCCAGTGCGTCCTCCCCGCTGCCAGTCCGCTTGACCGTTCAGGGGCTCCTGGCATTCCCCGGTGCAGGGGCTGGGACAAACAGGGACGCATGGAAGGCAGGTGGGGCAGGGGCAGGAGTAAGAGGAGGCGGGCACTCACTTGACAGAGGCCGCACTGGGCCAGCGCCGCCCCAGCTTGGCCAGCTGCTTCCTGGGAGAATTGATCCACAGGCCCACGGGGAGATGGAGCTTCCCGAAGCGGGGGCTTCCGCCCTCCTTCCGTTCTCCAGATAGCATGGCCCTGAGGGAAGGTGGGCAAGGCCCCAACTCCTGAGGCTCCGAGGGGTGGGAATGGGCTAGAAGGGGGCCTGGACTCCGGTCAGAGGGAGGAGGGGGCTGGGGCTGAGACTCCTGGGTCTGGGTGGAGAAGAAGGACAGGGGCCTGGACTCCTGGGTGCTGGGGTGGGAGGTGGCTGGGGACCGAGAGTCCTGGGTCTGAGGGAGGAGGGGTCTAGCTTCCTGGGTCTTGGACTCTTACCCTGCTTCGGGTCCCAGCAGCACCCGGGGGCCCTGGCTCCGTTGCCTGGGTTGGTTCCTGACCCCACTGCTCCCGTTCAGCCTTTCCTCTGCCCCAGCTCCCAGCACTGGGTGGGGGACAGGAAAAGGCAAGAGGAAACACGGCAGGAAG